TTAAAAATGCCAACAAAATGTCTATGAAAGTTCCCACCCAGAAAGTGGTGATCTCAATCCTGTTATCAAAAGACCCAACCCATTAATGCAATATAAGTACCTTTAACAATTTTCTTTGGCTAAGACTTTTGCACTGTACTGAACTTCGTGTGAGAAACAATCTGAGATGTATCAAAGTTTTTGAGCCTTCATTGTTTAAATTGAGCATTCAACTAAATGCATATGGTTCAAAATAAAATGGGACAGAACATACCACCAGGATCAGTGTTCCCAGACATTCAGCCAGAGCCTGACGTATCAGCAAGTTGCGGATGTGGCAGGTGTGTAAAAGCTTGTCCAGGAAGACCTTCTGTTTTCCCATGATGAGACTTTAAGAGGCGTCCTGAGAGAGTCGGGTAAACTCCAGCAGCTGAATGTTACTAAGGAGGTCAGGGGGAAACCTCTGTCTCTTAAAACACCAAGACCCTCCCCCTAAAATTCTTCCAACCACACCCTCCCCATTAATCCTTTTGGTCAAACTGTTCACTTTGATTTGGCGCAATAGTCATATCCCCGCCCCCTGACACTTACCACTACCCTGTGCAATCCCATTATTCCTAGTCATTTTATTTTTCCTTTTAAAAAGATATAGTACTATTTATGTTTTGTAAAACCACCACAATACTTCCAACACACTTCAAAAAATGTATTGTTTTTGTTTTGTAAAATTTGTTTTATAAATGTCACATTTTTTTTTAAACCAGTGAAAATTCAGCATATACAAACTGCGGAAAGTAAGGAAGTAACAAGGTGCAAAATTACATTTAAAATACATTTAAAACTGTCTGCTCATAACAGAAAAGTTTAAGCTCACAATGTACAATATTCTATATTTTTTTCACATAACAACTACAGTAGTAGTTATATAATATTAAAAACACAGTTTTAAGTTTAATTTCTTGGGGGTTGAAAAGGGATCATTTTAATATTGTGGTTAAAATTACAAAAATGTGTAATACATGAAAAAAGTTTATAATAAAAATATTAATTATAAAAAAGCAAATTTAATTTACAAATCATTTGTTTCTATTTTTTATTTTGTCAAAAGGAAGGCATTCCAGAGTCTAGGTAATGGACTTGAGAGAGATCTTGGATTCATTTATCAGAAACCTTTGCTTGTTGATGTGAGATTATGCTATCGATAGAAGTCTCAATCATGCAATACCTCAGTCCATTTCATTTTAAAATAATTTGTCAAAAGCAACTGTTTACCAGTAGATAATCAATAATCAATTATAAACATATAGCCCTTTGGTTATTTCTTTAAAGATAGTTGATTGAAGTGACATTTAGATTCTAATAAAATAACTTTTAATAGAATAAATAGAAATTTCAAAGCTCTTTCAAACATTAAATGAATATTTTGCACACATGAATGACTTATTGCAATACATCATCCACAGAAAAGTGAAATGTTATTGTAAGATGATACATTCTTTTTCCTGGCACAATCCAAATTGATTAATTACAGATGACTGCTATGATTTTTCTCTGGCCATTGTTTTAGCCACTAACCCATCCATCAGTTGACTGCCCAAAATCACTGTAGGATTCCAGTGAGCTAAATGTTAACTGGATCAACCATCTCACCTTTAGGACTAACCATATGTTGAATATACATTCGAATAGGAGAGAATCAGGCCAAACTATTTAAAAAATTTATTGCGGTTTTGAGACTTGTGATCCTGCACTTGTCCAGGCAGGTATTCATAACTGCATGCCTGTGGAGCTGAAATTGAACTTAAGATTAACTTATGATTGTCATGCCCTGCTCGTCCGATCCTCCTGTGTGCCACGCCCCCTCGTTAACCTCGTGTTGAATCCCGCTTGTTGTCAGCTGTTTCCTGTTTTTCCATTGAGTCCTATGTATTTCAGTCCGCGTTTCGAGTCCGTTTCCCTAGGTCTGTCATTGAAGTCTTGTGAAGTCTCATGGTGTTGTGCTGCCTGTTTGTGCCTGCTTGATGTCCCTGCTCAATGTCCCTGCTCACTGTCTCCATTAAATCCCGTATTCCCTAGTCCTACACGTCCCTCTCCTGCTTCCCCATTCAGTGCACTGCTATCAGTCACAACAGAATGACAAACCTCCTGAAGAAGATGTCTCGCCTAACGGACAATGAGTACATGTTCCTAGTTGAAGAAGTAATGTACTGGCTAACCCAGCCCAAGATCCAGGAGGATCCCGCAGCTCGAGCCGCACCAAGGCCGGGATATCCTGGAGAAGAAATCCCTACCCGGCAATGCGCACCAAGCGGAAGAGGTGCGCGAGAACCTCCAGCAGCTTCAAGAAAGGGCAGCCAAATCGATGATGCGGCAGGTGGATGTGGACTGTGGGCTACACTACAGTGAGTGTCCTGGGCTTCCAGGAATACCCATGAGCTCACCAAAAGCTAGGCGAAAGCAGCATCATGGAAAGCAGGAAGACGTCTCAGGGATCTTCCTGGGGGCTACCCAGATCTCCCCTGCTCTGCCTGTTCCTGACCTGCTGGTTCCCGATGTTCCTGTGCCGACGGTCGATGCTCCGCCCCCTGTGATTCCCACACCGCCTGTGCCTGATGTTTCTAACCTGCCTGTGCCTGATGTTTCTGACCTGCCCCCAGAGGTTCCCACTCCACCGATTCAGGTGTCCGTGCCTCTGGTTCCAGTCCCGGCAGCTGACGCGCCACCCTGCGAGGCTCCAGTCCCGGCAGCTGACGTGCCGCCCTGTGAGGCTCCAGCTCTGCCCACAGAGGCTCCTGCACCACCTGTCCCTGCTCTGCTCACAGAGATCCCTACTTTGCCCGTCCCTGAGGCTCCTGCTCTGCCCGTGGTTCCAGTCCCTCCGGCTCCAGTCCCCCCGGTTCCTGTACCTCCGGCTCCGTCCCCCTGGTTGTTGATCCAGCTCCCACACCACTGGCTCCCTTCGTCCCTATCCCTGTCCCCGAAGAGGTCCCGGACTGTCCGACCACCGCTCCTTTCCCCTGGGGAAGGAGGAGCTTGAGTGGGACCCCTTGGGGATTTCCCTGGTGGCCCCACTGGATCCCTCTGGGGGAGTAACTCCTCCACCACCGCAGTAGTGGCGGTCGCCTGCGGGTCTCCTTCTGATGACTCATCGGCTGCCTTTGGCCCCGCCTCGACTTGTCAGTCGCCTGTGGGTCCCCCCACTCCGGCTTGTCGGTGGATGGCGCCTTCACCCGCTGTGGCTACGCTGTCGCCTCCCGTGGCTTCCCCTCCCTCCTCGCCTTCACTGAGGTCCCCTTCATCTTCCTCCTTGCCTCCCCTGATGCCCCCTCTGACTTCTTCCTCGCCTCCTTCGCCTGTCCCTCCGTCAGCCTCCTCGCCCCCTTCGGAGACCCCTCCTGCTACTGCCTCGCATCCACCGAGACTGCCCCTATGGCTTCCGCCTCTCGCCCGCTTCCCTCGGGTTCCCCGTTGTCCCCTGTCCTTTGCCTTCCGGCCTCCTGTGTCTGCTTCTTGTCCCTCCATTCCTGTGTTCACACCTGGTCCCTTCATTCCTCCTGTTGGTGTTTCCCTGTGTCTCCCTGCTTAGTGTCCCTGTGCCTGTTCGCTCTCCCTCTGGTTTGTCAGTGGTTGTCTAGTTTGTTGTCCCTGTGCCTGTTCTGTGTGTCCATCCTGTTCCCAGTATCCCGTTGATGTTTTCCTCTTGTTTCCCCAGGTGCTGTCGGTTCCCAGTCTCGTCTGTCACTTCCCTTGAGGTGCGCCTGGAGTGTGCGCCTTTGGGGGGGGGTTCTGTCATACCCTGCTTGTCCGATCCTCCTGTGGGTCACGCCCCCTCGTTAACCTCATGTGGAATCCCGCTTGTTATCAGCTGTTTCCTGTTTTTCCATTTAGGGATCTTGTATTTTAGTTTGTGTTTGAGTCCGTTTCCCTAGGTCTGTCATAGAAATACTGTGAAGTCTCATGGTGTTGTGCTGTCTGTTTGTGCCTGCTTGATGTCCCTGCTCCCTGTCTCCATTAAATCTCGTATTCCCCAGTCCTACAGGTCCCTCTCCTGCTTCCCTGTCCAGTGCACCGCTATCGGTCACGACAATGATAAAACTATTAATTCATAGCTAGAAATTTTTTCTCCTGACAAAGGCATGTTTTTTCCCAAGTCTCAATGCTGGACTGGTTCCCCAGAGTTCTAGGCTCTGTACCATAAATATAGGCCCTGCAAAGTACTAGTACTAATAAGCCTATGCTTCTCTCAACATTATAGTATAATTTCAAGCAACGTAAGTATGACACTGCATAAAAATTTACATAGTTGATCCTTATATACTTGACTTGGCTTGTGCGACAATGGATAACATACAATACATACAATACGTAGCGCAAAGTGCTCTACCCAATGCTTAGTTTGGGAGTTTGCCAGAACTCTGGTTTGGAGCAGTCTGCGCCCCACCACTAAACCCAATGTAAATAAATGTAAAATGAATTTGAGTTAAACTTTGTAACCAGTGCAAATTGAACTAAAGAAATGTTTATTTATCAAATCATTTGTGTTGTATGTTTTTTGTTTTTTTTTTGATATACAGTACGCTCACCTAAATTTGTCAGTTTTTTTATTTGAAAGGGAAATAACTACACCACAGAAAAATCCACTTTTTGGCCACTAAAATAGATGAGGTTGCTGCAAAATATCACTTTTTTTTGCCAAACAACAAAATCATCCAAGCACAGCAAAAATTAAGCAGAAAACCTGATAGGAAAAAAAGCAGAAACTAAAGATGAGCAGTGTTTGTGGATGCATAGAAGACAAAAAGGAGCAAGAAAAATGCAGTGCAGATGAAATATTTGATGTAACTAACAGGCCTCAATAGAAAATTTTGCATTGTTACATGTTAAAGTAATTAATAGCATCATATCATAGAGTTTACAAATTAAGCACTGGCTCTAACTGAACTGTGATCTTTACCAATGCCATCCTTGTGGATATACTAACAAAAATGAGATAAAAGTCTAGGGTGACCACTCGTCCAGATTTCCAGCCCTCTGTCTACACTGCCCTTAGCTGTTTTCCTTTTAGCCCCCTTGTCTTTCTGTTTCCCTCCCAAGTACCTGCCACCCCCACAACAACTGGCACAACTCTTCCCCACCCTTGCACCCACACACACATACTACAGAAGCCAAAAATGGCTGCTCATGTTATGTTATTATCCCAAGATAATCATCCTGATAGTTTTCTCTCCCCACTCAACAACTTAGTCCTCCTTTTTGGACATAGGTCTGAACTCTTTCGTCATTTGCTTTGATTTGCTGCAGGTTTTATTATTTAAGAGATTACCAAATAAAGGTGTGGGATCTGGTCTGCATGAATTAAGCCATAATTTTAAGTTTTAAATTCTGAAAATCCAGCATCTACAGCTGATGAGGAACTGACAGTTCAACAAATGATGTTGAGCAAGGACTTAGAAAGTTATTGCTGTTTTCAGATACAAGTTCTGACTCAGTCTTTAAGCCAAAAATTCTTTCAGTAAGCAATAATGTACTTGAATCTCTTAATTTCCTTCTGTTGTTCTGCATGGAGCCATCTACCCACGGGCGATTTCTACTAGTATAAAAAGATTTAGGCTCTGGGCGACACACGTACAGCATTGTTATAGTTTAAGAATGTGTTTTTTATGGGAGAGTATACTTGTGGATCAGAAAAGGTAGTTAAAATGGAAAATGCCTATATCAGATCCTTCTTATAGAAATTGTTTCCAAAACAACACAGATGAAGCAGTGGTTTAACACTAGCATAGTTTCCTCATAACTACATTGATGTGATTTCAAATATGGACTCTATGAAACTTGAAGATTCCCCCTTAATTATGTATAACTAAAAACATTATCTCTGTGTTTATCTAGGTTTATTTAGGTATTTAAAGACATCTGAAAGACATATATAGTATATTTGAAATATTCACTTCCAACGAGTAACAAGCTAGTTAGCACTGCAGAGTCACCGATCGATTTAGCAATTCGGTTCCCCGCAAGAGTCAGTCTAAATTGACCTTTGCATATACAGTATGTGTGAATGTCAGGAACCCAAAGACAACTAGAGAATCTAAAATGTGTTGAAAGATTTGTTTTAGTAACTCAGACACCCCTTACAGACCTCTAGAAGGCCTGCCAAGGTGATGTGAGGAGACTTGTAGCCAAACGGAGTAAACAGTAGGCTGAGCACATAAGAAACTCATCACAGGTGCCAGCCCGAGGCTGCTTGTTGAAACACAAGATCTTTCTTTTTCCTGGGATGCATTCCTGCCAAAAATATGCCAGTTGGCATGTAGAGCACTGGAACAAGATCTTTCTTGCATTACTTACTGCATTAAAGTACAAAGGCAACCATCTGTACTGTTTGGAGTCTTCGTCTGGTTTGTAAGTGTCTGTTAGTAGCTGTTCCTGTATTATGTCTAGGGATCTGAGTAAGACAGTGGAGGAATTCATGGGTTTTAGTTCTAGGAAGAGCAGTTAGCACCTCTACTCAAATTAATTTGTCTCACTGGGTGGGGAGGGGGGGAAGAGGTTTGCTAGCTTCGGACGTCTGGAAATTTACCCCCTCTCCTTTTTATGGCTACTCCACATTTGAGTACAACATTCATACCATCATCAACCCTGCCAAACTAAATATTGTTGTTGTTTATCACCCACCAGGGGCCTATATCATGAAGTCAGATTTTTTGCTTAACCGGATAACTTTGAGGCTAAACAGAGGTAATGCTACTTAGTTACCTCTATGTTCAGGCTCACGGATCTCTTGAATGTTCTGTCCTCAGCCAAGTCTTTTGTGAAGAACAACCTACTGGTCCGTCTGGCTTCAGTCTTACACAATTGACTGAGAATGGCCTCTTCACTGTTGTGGATACTTTAAGAGCTGCATCAGCTGCATCCCAGTCATCTACCCTGACCCTGCCAAACCTCTCTGTGGCCTTCAGCACTGTTAATCACAAAATCCTCTTGGCTACCCTTTTTCAGCTTGGCATCATGGGAACAGCTCTATGCTGTTTTGATTCATACATATAGGACAGATCATTCCAAGTGGCTTAGGGTGCACTAAATGTTCTATAAATGCATTATAAAACCATTATGAAGGTGTAATTAATGTGACTCGTTACTGATTATCTTAACCATTAGACAGCTTTCTGAACTACAAAACAGGATCAAGTTTCTCAAAAGTGATGCAACATAGATATCATCAGGTACTGCTTTTTTATGAATATTAATGTACCTTCCCTTGCCATTTTGTGATTAGAGAATTAACATGTCAGCACTGCTACTCTGAGCATCTACTTGCAGCACACGAATGTGACAGTGTGCAACCCAGAAGTAGGAATATTTTTATTTTATTCCACAAAATTAATTTGCATGTTACAGATAAATGCATTGAAATTCCACCTTAATGATCAGTTCATCGTGATGTATTGATGCATCCTTACATCCTACTTGTTAACTCATGACTGGACTATTACAACACTCTACTAGCAGGTCTACCAGCCTGTGCTATCAGACCACTGCAGATGGTTCCAAACGTGGGAGCACATCTGTTATTCATTCAGTCTAAACATGCTAATGTCACACCCATCCTTGTCTCCCTTCACTGGCTCCCTACTGACACGCTTCAAATTCACGTCCCTGGTACTGGTTTATAGATCCATCAATAGACAGGCACCCATGTCCATGAAAAGGTTTCTCACCCCTTCCAGTCAGCAAACCAGCACCTCTTAGAGCTTCCTCCATAATGCAAGAATTGTCACTCCAGGTGGTTCTCTGGTATGGTTCCCCGATGGTGGAATGATGTCCGGTCATCAGACTCCCTCTCCACCTTCAAGAAATGCCTCAAGACCCATCTGTTTCATGAATTCCTTTACTAGCCTGATGCCTCTTTACATTCCCTGAATGTTGCACTTCTGGTCTTGAATAGCCTCATTAGCTTCTTGCATTTTGCATTGCAAGTTGTTATGTAGCTCTTGCTCCAATACTGCATACACTTTTACCTGGACATTCTGTGTTGTT